CCCCAAAACCCCAAAACCCCAAAACCCCAAAACCCCAAACAAAATTATAATTTTTTATAATATTAAATAAAATTGCGGTCGAATGGAAGACATCCAAATGGAAGAAGATGCCAGAGTATTTGAATTCGCTGAGTTCTGAACTATAAGAGATGAACACTGGGTCCAGTTTAAGGAGATCCTCCAAAGAATCCAAGAAGGGACGCTTGGTAAGCCCTACCTGCGAGTTTTACTAAATGGCTTATATAGAAGAGATAATAGATCATTTCCATGAGCTTTTCTACCTAGCACAAAAGTGAGTCCAATAGTTGACCTTTTCTAGACTGATCTGGTACAGGAACCACAAGCAAAGGAAGCTCAAAGGGTTCTTGGAACTGAAAGACTTCATCATTAATGAAACAGGTCAAGAGGAAAGCTTTGTTGAAGTTATGCATTTCATTGCAGCCAGAGCTCTAGATGTGAAGGATATGTTCCCTGAAGACAAAGTCAGAATCCTTTCGAAAAACCAGCAGGCTTGTGAGAACTATACCTCTGTTCAGATCAGTTGAGCAATCGCTCACGGGTTCTTCTGCTTGATCCCGGGACAAGACAAATTCCTTGACTTGCCATTCCCGATGAATTTCAATATGTGGCATGAGGATAAGAGCAAGCTTGGGCTAGAGAAACTGAAGTTTTACTACAACTATTTCAACTCGCAGTGCTCGATGCCTGAGGACGGTAAGTCACCACCCGACCAAGGGTTGACCATGATATAGAGAGATACATCAGCTTTGAAAGGAAGTTCATTTCAGAGCTCGACTATGATAATCTTGGTATTTTCCAAATTGATCTTTAGAAAATGATGTATGGTCTAATTCTGATACAACCTTAACAAGCGTCTTTTTCGATGAGAAAGGAAGAATCGAGGAAGATGAGGGCTCCCTAATGGTCGATTTCGCTAACAAGTTCATCGGCGGTGGCTGTATGAACCTCGGGTGTGTTCAGGAAGAGATTCTCTTCCTGATTTACCCAGAACTGCTCATGGCTCTCATATTGTGCCCCAAAATGGAGAAATAACGAAGCTATAATGATTAAAGGGCCTAAAAGGTACAGCAATTATACCGGATATGGATTCTCGACAGAATATACAGGCCCGTTCGATGATAAGCAGCCACTAGATTCTGACAGCAGGATTGAGAGAGTTTTCACAGCAATTGATGCAATTTATTTCGGAAGCACCCAGCACGAATACTCACAGTTTGGCAAGAAATCAATTTTAAGAGAACTCAATAAGGCATTGATAGGTTTCACTAAATTCTCAGGCGAAGAAGACGATGACAAAATGGTCCTTAGTACTGGAAACTGGGGGTGTGGCGTCTTTAACGGAAACTGTGAACTCAAATTTCTTATCCAATGGATGGCAGCAAGCTTTCATGGTCGAAACATGAAATATTTCACATTTGGGGATGAAAAATGAGAATTCCTAGGACAAATAGTCAAAGAGTGCAAAGGAAAGTCCATTAAGGAAATCTATGAGCTTCTGCTAGGTCACAGTGCTTACCTTAAAGCTCATAGCAAAACCAAGTAAGTATTACAGCTCATAATGGTAGATCCTGGAAGCCAGAGAAAGATTTGATCAGCAAGTTTATCACAAACATTTATTACAGAAGAGCGTTCTAAAGATTAGCGTTCAAAATCGGCCAAATATTTAGGGGTTTTGGGGTTTTGGGGTTTTGGGGTTTTGGGG